CAACACCTGTAGTGCTCCTGAGTGGTCCCTCCCCTTTTAAAGCTGGAAGCTATCTATGCTTGTTCAAAGCCTTAATAGCAAAAAAAAGCCCTATTGAAGAAAAAAAAAAAATGTCAGGCAAAGCTTGGGCTTGGATCTCAGCCAAGGGAGAACATTCCATTTGTCCCTTGCACAAAGTCATTAATATAGTCCACACTTTGTTTAACGAACAGTCTTTAGGAACAATAACTTGGCAGGTTTCCTGCTGCACGTTCCTTTATAGACATTGACTTTTATCAAAGGGCCCGGTCTTTGTCCGAAGCAAAATTCCACCTCCCCTCGGTGGAAACGCCCCTGCCTTTTTTGCCCTGGTGGGATAGCCTGAACATCCTATAAGAAGTGCTTTGCATGGACAGGCTGTAACTGCTCTCTGCACTGTTATTCCACTGAAGAGTTCATTCAGTCATTTGCTCGTTAAAGTCGCTGGCCACTTGGTTGGTACTGCCTCTGATGGAGCTGCTTGACTTGTTTAAAGGCTGAAGCTGTGGAAATGGATGGATTCCAGGCAGACACTGAGGAAGAGGAGGAAGAGGATGACTGCATGATTGTGGACATCCAGCCCAACAAAGGTGAGAAATGGGACTTCTGACAGCTGCCAACTTCAGACCTCTGCTTACAGGGGAGGGAGCAAAACAGAATGGGAACAGGATGTTTAACTGCCCACCCCGCTCCCCACCCCTCCTATCTAGTTTTTCTCATGCCTGCTGTTGTGGTGCAGAACAATACTTCATCTCTCCTCATTGCTGTTGCCTTCCCTGATCTGTTTCTGCTCTTCTGTCCCAGATTCAGGAGTCCAACTCTGTGCTTTGTTCTTCTGTCCTTAGACTCAGCACAGCTGCCTGCACTCCTGTAACTTCATAAATCAGCACACCCACTTTCCCCTGTCTTGTGGTTACAGAGATGGCCCTTTTTACTGCTCTGCTCAATGCCTTGCCTAGTTATAAGGATTATAGTCGGACTCCGATGCCTAGAGGAAGAGATGATCCTGATTCTCCAGTAAAAGTTCAGGACTAAGTGAGGCTGTGGCTGTGGATAAGCTCACCCTGCACTTAAGTGAATTGCTTTTGGCTGCTTGGTCAGCTCTCACTCACTTTTATTGGCAGTTAAAATACACTTCTTCTAAACATTTCTATGAAGAGATGTGAATAATTTTTAAAAGACCAAATTAATCTAAAGCCTGAATGTTGGCCATATCAATAAATTTCAGTTGCTGTAGGAGCGATGCTTGCTGAGAGATGCCTGAACCCTGTGACTTCAGAATATCTTGAAATGGTTGTAAGTTCCTCAAGCAGGAGCTTTACCTAACTGGCTTTGTAAAGTGTTGCGCACATACCATGTGAGTTTTAAAACTCCTCCGTGTGAAAAGTAGACCCTGGTTATTACCTGATCCCATGTATTGGCCCTTGATAAGATATAGTGCAAGGGGTGGTTTGGTTTATCAACTGGAACAGTAGGGATGGGAAGTGTAACCACTCCCTTCATCTCAGTGGGGCTTTAAATATTGTTATCTTCATAGAATGTTTCACCAATCATTTTGGCACAAACAGCTTGAAATGCCACTCCAACTCACCTGTAGTGTTCAAACTTCAAGTTCCCCTGTGACAGTTTCTGCAGTAGAGATGTTTTTTGTGACACTGTCTCTATAGAGCCTCATCATACAGTGCCAGACAGAGAGCTTTCCTTTAGCTAATTGGTGCCCAGTTTTTTTGCCCCATAGGCCAGATAGGTGGTGCCAAGTCTTGTGCACTGGATCCAGACATGCAAGGTCTGGTGATTTGGCAGTGGGGAGGGGGCATAGTATTAATCACCACTGCTCCCCTGCCAAATTTTGCTGACTTGTGGGGAGCCCCACAGGCCAGATGCTGTAGGTCTGTGGGCTGGATTTGGTCTCTGGTCTTGAGGGGGTTGAGCACCCCTACTTCAAATGGTAGGCAAGGGGTACATGCATGTTCCTTGAGTTCCGTAGTCCATAGACAGCATAAGCATCCCACTCCAAGACTCCTCCTGTCAGCCAGCTGGGGTGGGCCTCTCCTCTTCTGATGCTTAATTGACAACATTATGTAAACATTTTTTTCCAAGTTGAAACAAAATGGCTTTTAATTTGCAGATGCACTCAGTGAGCCTTTGCAATAACTTGAAAGCAGAACACCTTCTGGGCTGGAACCTCCTCTGCTCGAAATTTTGGCCTTTCTGTTCAGAAGGTTTATTTATTTTCCTCAACACACAGCTGAACTGGCTTAACATAGGATTTCCTTTAAATCCACATGATTAAAGCAGTGAAAAGAGCTTTGTGGGCCGTCGTTTTTAGGCTTAAACCATGCATAGTTTGGTTTAGCTGGAGTTGGATGGAAGTAGGCTTAGTTATCAACTCTTTCTGAACAAGTGCCAACGTAGGGGGAGGTATTTGACTAGTGCAAACTCTGCAGAGAGCAAGCCTGTGCCCTAACATGAGAACATGTATTGTAGCAGCAGCAGGAAAATTGCACTGGTTCAGTGAAAGCGCAAAACCTACTTTTTGTACTTCACAGATTCTAAATCCAGAGTTACTGAAACGGCTTTGGAATTGGATGGTGCAATTGGCCCCACGCAGGAGGACGCTGCAGTCAGCCCACCCAGCGCAGTTTGAGACGTAATACTTACTAACCTCCCTGTATGTATGTAGAAATCTTTTAGGAAATTTTTTAAACTTTGTGTATCTTTAAGACAAGATACTTGTTCAATATTTCTTGTAAAGAGAAGACAGCACTTTGTTCTGCTTCAGACCAGATGGAAGCTTGAAATTTTTCTAGTTGTAGTTTTTTAGCTAAAAAATATTGCATATTAATCTGTCTTTAATAAAGCATTATGAAATTGTGATACTTCTGTATGGAAGGTATCTAACTCATGCTCTAAAATTAGCGTGGGATCTTTAAAATATGTAAACTTACTGCAATGCCAATGGTAAGTCTTCTGTTCATAATTCTGTATAGCCTGGCCTTTGGGGCATAAATGATGACATGTACAATTATATTTGAATTTTTGCTACCCACATTATCTGGCTTTTCTGGTTTTCCTTCCTGTAGGGACAATAGCAGGGGCTGATGTTTGGGGGCAGGAAGAGAATGTATATGAGATGACACCCATGTGCCTTTCTGAAAAGGCCAATACCAATTACAAAACTGGCTAACAATTCCATTCAGAACTGAGTGAAACATGCTTGCCTACAAATGTCTCATTTTAAAATCTCGCTTACTGTACTATGTGCATAGTGATAAGTAGCTGTATCCTAAGGTGTACCTTCTGGCATATGCCAAGGGAAGTTGTCTACATGTTTGGCTGGTCCTTGTCATTCAAAGAAAAACTTGAGAAGTTGCAGCACATACTGAATTTGCTGTGAAGTCCACACCTCAAAGAAAGGCTATGTTCATACTCTAATTGGAAAGACTGATGACGGTGGTGAACATCACTCTTCACTTCCAGAGTGTGGGGCTTGTTTCTGGTCCCATAAGCAACTTTTGCTTGATGTGTCGGATATCATTTGTATTTAATCTTCCTGTTCCTACTCCACTAGATGCGTTTCATAAACTAAGACTTGAAGGGACCGTTGGGATAATCTTGTCTGATTTAATGCAAAGAGGGTTGACTGTTCTGTATCATGTCTCAGCATAGCTTGTTTCTGACATGTTGTGGTCCAGCTACAGTAAGGCTTGGTAATAGGGAACATAAGGCATACCTTAGTTCCAGTTTGTACTCTCCTGCTTTTAACATCCAGTCCTTGAATCCCATTTTGTGTGGTTTTCTGCTAGAGTGCAGCCCTCCCAGTTCTTGCCTGTCTGCAAAGGTACTTCTTAGAAAAGTAGGCAATTTGAGCAGTTTCCTCAACTGTACTAAAATGCTTGGCTTCAAGTATTTTGTCTCCTGCCTTCATCCCTTGATTGGCTCTTCAGCTACACCGTCACTGGGTATGTGTATACAAGAATTCTATTGCCGCTTGCTCTACTGCATGGCGGCTTGTTACACTTGAAGTATTTGGTTTTCTGGAGGTGTATCTGGTTGACTTTTCTGCTGGCAGGTTTATATCCTGCCTCCTTATGCTGACTTGGGTCAGGCAGGAAGCATGGGGAGCCTTTGCCACCTCCCATATTGCCTGTACAGCACCTTGTTCAGGAGTGTCAAAAATGTGGCCTGCTGTGGTAGTCACTGGAAGTTTAGGGGTGCAGCTGCTCTCCAAACCCTCAGCTTGATCCAGCCTGTGGCCTATAGTGCATTTGACACCCCTGGCTTACATTTTATGTACCAAACATCATCTTGTGTAGCAAAGGTCTCTCATGAGTAAGGCTTTAACCTCAGGACCTCTTTCATAACATGTATGTAACACTTTACTGTGGTGATCAAACATGATGCAGTCACTGACCTCTTGTTTAAATCTAATACATAACTCCCCTTTCAAATCATACTGGACTACTTCACGCAAACACGTCTGTCACTGGGGAGGGTGACAGTTAAGGGATGTACTTTGGCATTGTGGCAACTTGTGAAATAAAAATAGGCTGGATGAACTTCCCCAGGCAGACAAGGTTCTCTGGGTAAATCCAATATCTTTTATTAGACCAACTCAAATTTGGTCTAACTCAAATTTGAGTTAGTCTAATAAAAGATATTGGATTTACCCAGAGAACCTTGTCTGCCTGGGGAAGTTCATCCAGCCTATTTTTATTTCACAAGTTGCCACAATGCCAAAGTACATCCCTTAACTAACTCAAATTTGAGTTGGTCCAATAAAAGATATTGGATTTACCCAGAGAACCTTGTCTGCCTATGTCCTTAGACCAACATGGCTACAAATTACACTGTAAAATTGAGTGCTGAGGAAGACTTCACCTTTTACTCCTTGCACTACTCTATCTCTTTGTATGAGGGAGTGCTCTTTTCAGATCTTACAGGTAAGTGTAGTTTGATAGCTCAAGAATTTGAATCAAGGCTGCATTTCTAAAGACTTCCTTTAATCAGAATAACAACAGCTGATCTTGTTACAAGTGACATAAGTATTTTACACAAAAATCTTTCCCCTAAGAGGGATTTAATTTATACAGTAGGAGCATAACAGAGAGCCGAACACTAGTCCTGCCTACAAGTCTTACAATCATCTTTGACCTGCTAGACTTTAACAGGGTAGATTTTTTTTCTGTTGCTGTAAAGGACAGAGAGGTACTTTCTGTCCACAACAGAGAGAAAACCACAGAGTAACTGGGGGGGGAAAAAAAAAAGTACAAGAGCAACAGAACAGAAATCCCCAGGGGAGGACTGTCTTCAGAGTAGTAAGTCTGCTTAAAATGGGCCAAGTTCTCACCTATTCCATAGCTGCTCTTGGTGTGGACAGAAGCTGACCAGTGCAGTGGCAGACTGATGCCTGGATGTCCCAGACCCCAGCTAGCAAGTCTGTGGCAGGAACAGGAGTTGAAGCAGCTTCTGTTCTGATGTCTGAGAAATGCAGGGGAGGACAGAACAGCATGAACAGACCCAACAGCACTGAATCTGCTCCCGTTTATTTTATGACAGCGTTTGGACAGCAGAAAGGAGTTCTGGTTTCAAGTGGCTTTTTGCTTCCTCTTCTTTCTCTGCAGCTTTTATGTCTGCCATGACAGCTGCATCCCATGAGAGTGTCAGGAGAGCAGAGGGAACCTAGAACAGGAACAGATGGAGTGCTTATTAATATCCTGTGTAAGCTGGTTACCAAAGGCTTCCATACTCTTTAGAAGGCATTCTCAGTGGCTTAAAAGGAGGGGATGTGTCTGTATAAGAATGCTAAATGACCAGCACCATCAGGTTTCCCCAACACCATCAGGTTTCCCCAACACCACCACCTCCTCCCTAGGCATGGGACAGTAAAGATACAGCTTGGCTCTTTGCCTTCAGTTTTTGTTGTAACTGTTCTCCTTGTTGCATGTATGAACAAAATTGTTACAGAGCCTCAATGGAACTGACCTGGCTGGAGCCATGATCAGATAACACTGTACTCACCAGCCCACACTCGTTGAAAGCCAAGTTTTCATCAGTCAGTTTGAGACCTCCAGGAGCAAGCAGCTCAAAAGGCAGCCAGTCATCCTGCAGGGCCTCTCTCACAAACTTGTACAGGGTAGAGACCTGCTCCCGGGCATAGAACGTTCCTGCCAACAGAAACAATGTGGGGCATTAGAGAAAACTCTTTCCATTGGGCAGGAAGAGCATCTGCCTAGAAAGGAGGTCTGAACAAGACCTTCAGTGAGCTGTCTCATTTCTACTTCACCAGGGAAGAAGTCAGATTCAGCAGGGTTTCTGTAATGCTTATATTTCAAGCAGTAAACAAAGGCACAGCATTGTTCAACTTAGTGCATATCAGAACAGGTTCCCTTAAAAAAAAAATTGAATGAGCTTGCTACAAGGTTAGTTGCAGCAAACAACAGCTCTGCCAGGTTGCAACCTAGAAATAGTCTGTGGAAGCCTGAGATTCAATCCAGTATCTTCATTATAAGAAGTGTAGTGTCTCCCTGTTGTCTAATGCCACTTTTCAGCCTGTTACTCAGCCATTGAAATGTCTCACTTGTTTTGAGCCAACAACTGTTCAGTTTAGTACCCGAAGTTTAGAAAGTCTTTTGCAGTTTACCAGTGACTAACAGCACTGCATCGGTCTGCAATTATAGCTCTTTAATCATCACTGGTGCACATTCCCACTGCATTGGCAAAAAGTGACGGCTGCCTGAGACAAGAGTTTCTGTAAAGGCTGTGAAATCAATACCCTCCTTGTTTCAATTTCATGCACTGACAGAAGCCTGCTAGGTTTGTTGCTTAGTCCAATGGTATTTTGCCCAGCTTCTCAATGTGCCCCTCAAGCTTACAGTTCTAGCTCTCAAATCAGACCAAGTTTCCAGCTGCTCTTGGGGCTGGGTGAGAGGGAGTGATGATAGGTAGACAAGGTTATTTGGGTGAATCCGATATCTTTTATTAGACCAACTTAAATAGTTGGAAGACAATTATTAAGCAAGCTTTCGGGTTCAAAAACCCTTCATCAGGCTAAGGAAGTAAGGGAGTGATGATCACACTTCACCTTGTAGAATGTATCCATCGGGGAACCGGACTCGCAGCAAGGTGTAATTGTATTTCCGCATTTCCCTTTGCTCTTCTTTCTCCCGCATAGCCTTTGTCCTCAGCATAGAGGCCTTCTCCACTGCTTCCGTCCTTCAGAGAGAAGGCAATTTCAACATAACATGAAACAGGAGGGGAAAAAGGAGCAAGATCTTTCTCAACCAGAACACTACACACATGACCAGAAGCTTCCTCTCCCTTCTTAGATAGGATGCCCCTTTACATGGAGTGCTCAGGCCTGTAGGCCACTCACCGGAGCCTCTGCTCCCGTTTTAGCTCCTCTGCAGTGAGGTTGTAGAAGTCATTTGGCAGTTCAAACTGGGCAGCTTGAGGGGAAGGCTTGAATATACAGAGCTGGCGATCCAGCTGGACCCTCACTGGCTCAGAGTTCAGGAGCTGGTCCTTGTAGTCCTTGAGGTCCTCCAACTTAGTCAACACTTCTTCCTTTAGCACATAGTATTCTTCTGTGGTCTCTACAAGCACAGAAGTTTGGCATTTTAGTCCCTTGTTCCCTCAGAGCTGCACATAATGACTGTGACATAATGGCTAAAGATCCCCAGGGCAGACCACCCTCAGAAGCAGGCAAGCTGCAGGTGTGGGGAGTATAGTTACAGGGACAGTTTTGTAAAGTTTGCTGCCACGTTCACCTCCCCAAGGAAGTCCTGCCATCACTCAGCCGAAGCTGACCCCAACCTCAAATGGAATACACTTGGGTTTCTTGCCTTGTCCTGGAACAGGTAGGGCTTTCTTCTCAAACCCAATGGCCTGGAAAAAGTTGTGCACGCCTTCCAGACAGTTTATCCTTTCCTAAAAGAAAAGGGGAGAGTCAGATTCAGTTTGCTCCAGAGTAGAAATTTCCCAGTGTTGCAAAATCAGGTGTCTTAATCTCACCTGAAACACTTTGTTCTGCAGCTTGATTTTTTGGTATTTCTCTTCCTCTGGATGGAGGTGGATGTTATCTAGGTATCTGGAGAAGACACAACCAACACACTTCACTCACTACAGTGGGTCTGGCCTCGTGTGCGATCACTGTTGACTCCTGGGTGCTCTCTGGTGCCATGATCAAGGTCTGAAGTATATTATTTTCTCTGCTAAAACACAGTGCAAGCTTCCCCTTCTCTACTTCCCAGGTTGCTAAATCCCAAGACAAAAGTTGTTTCTTAACACGTGAAAGATACCCCTTACTCTACAAATGGGTCACTAATTCCCTCTACCACCTTCCACAAGACAAATTTTTGGACCTTCCCCACTGGAGAGGCACTTAAACGCACAGGGCATACGTATGAAACACATACGTCCCTTGTGAACAGAGAATACCTGCTACCTACTGGGCTTGCTTGCAGGCCCACAGCACTCTGTACACACAGCTGTGCCACTGCCAGTTAAAGCTATGCTGCATCTGTGTGCATTTACAGGCATCTAGATGTTTTCCCTCCCACTGTTGACTTGGCACCTAGTTTGGAAGTGAAGCCTTGCTCTTCACAGATCAATCTGGCAGAGGGTTCATTTTTCGCTCAGACAGACATTCCACCTTGGGGGACTGAGTTGCATGAATGAGACAACACCTCCAGGACCTGAACAGTCTTCCACCCACATACAGGTTTGGTTTCTTTGGCTACATTGAATTCCTGTACTCTGGACAATCTACAGCTATTCAGTGGAAGAGACCTTGCTGTTGAGAGACATTTCCAAGTTCTTGGCTTTGCTTTTCTTTTGGGCATCACCTAGAACACCCATCTCCCCAATAATCTTGCAGGGGTTTCATCCATGTCCTCTTATCTAGTGACACAACAGATTTAAGGCAGGAGACTGGTGTGCTCAGCACTGCACAGCGCAGTCATGCCACTTACTTTGCGATGGTCTCAACACCAAGCTTCACTTTCTCTCGGTCTCTGTTGAAGGTGTGAATCTCCATGACCGAGGCAGCCACTGGGTCTTCAGAGGAATGCTAGAGGAGCATGAGGAGAACATAACTTAGTTGCATAAGAGGAACTGGATGCTACATAGATCTGTATAACCAAAAAGTCAGACTGACCAGTGTTCTGGACACTTATGGCAAAAAGAGTTGGGGTTGATGCTTGTTAACTGTTAGTTTACAGTCGTTTAAGACCAGACAGTACTGGGGGAGAAAGCAGAGACAGAGGAGGCCTGTAACAGCACAAGGACATAGTGGAGAACCAGATATGCTCTACACAACACCTTAAGCTCAGTTATGCTAATGGATCCAGCTGAAAACAGCCTCCCAGGGCACATTTCCAATGGGTTAAGCTACCTCTGGGGATCCAGAACAGAGAGCAAGTTAAGTGGCAGGGCAGGAGGAAGCCTGTGCTTGGCTGAGGACCCACTTACTGAAAGGATGGCCTCTCTGATGTGTGCCTCCCGCTTGTCTTTCTTTACGGTGGCCCCAGTTAGCGGGCAAATGAAATAGACTCCAGATACCGAGAGTCCAGCACATTCTTCCTCTTCTGCAGCCTCAGGGTCCTGAGTAAGAGCAGAAATCAGATGTTGGCTCAAAGGAAGAAAACATTTATAATCCTCTCCCTGGCACATGGCTCCCAAGTGAATTTAGCTCAGGAAACATTTGCAGAGGCGGAACCACGGGCTGTCTGAGGTGTTCAGTGCAACGCAGCTGGCTAATGGAGTCAGCACAGATATTACCCCTGTTAACAGGACAGAAGGAAGGTTTCAAGGGACCACGCAACAACCTGAAGAGATAATGAGCCACTATCGCTCCCCATAAAAACAGGGAATGGAACATTAACAGTCAGTCATCTGAGGTTTGCAGTGCATTTGTAACTGAAAGGCTAAATGCCAACAGGCCGTTGGTCAGTCGGAGGAGCAGCTCCCAGCAGCAGAGATCAGGAGCTGCCAGCACTTCTGGCAAGCCCCTCTGCTCCAGGGTTATTAAAGAAGGGAATTCAGGTTTTATGGATGAGTTCGCAAGACTGCACTACAGGAAGAGATGCTGCTTTGACATTAATCATGAGCGTCTGAGAGTACTTCCAATTGCCGAGGCAGAGGGCCAGATTCTGATAAGCTTACCCATGCCAACCAACACTGCACTCCCTTACTAGTCCTGCCGACTTCAACAAGCTATTTGTGGTGTAAGGCAATCTTATTATGGGTGTATAAATCCTGCCCAGAGCCAATCAATACCTAATGACAACAGCACGCAACTCCTCCATGCACCTGCAAAACACTATAGCATCTGGCCAAGGAGTTCTAAAAAATTAGGAAGGGGAAAAAAACTATAAGTCTCCTTGTCCAAGTGGGTGAGATCTCAGAAGAGACATTAAGGTATGCATGGAGCGGGGTTTCCACCTCTGACAACTAGTTTCTCCAGAGTTCCAAAGCAGACTCAAATCAACAAGCCGACAGGGGCTGGCATTCATTTCCCAAGAAGAGACTCAGGCCCGGAGGATGCTGGCGTGCCCCAGAGAGCAAATACCTGAATGACTTGAACAGCAGCATCTCTTCCTACCTTGTGATCTGGGGAGGGTCCTCTCTCATATGCAGCAGCTTCAGCCATTAGCTCCTTCCTCACTGGAAAGAGAGGAATCCAAGTTACAACAGCAGGTGCAGCAAAATGATGTTAACTGGATGGGAGTGGGGGAGGGAAGCAGCATCTCCTCTGGTATCTCGCTGCTGGCAGCGGTCAGCGGCTGATGTTGTACGTGATTGTGAACCCTCCCACACCCAAACTGTGCACTTCACTTGTGCCAAGCTGTCATTTCATTGAGGTGCAAAGCTCCAGAAATGTTCCCAGAACTGAGGGCCGTGCTCTTTGTGCAAGCTAAGCTAGATATACAACCAGGCCTCTTCCACGTCCCATTCAGACGAGTGACAGCAAGCCAAGTGTGGGGCCAGTGCACCAGTGAACATGCCTCCTGCAAATGGGCACTTATCTCACAAGCCTGCCAGCCCTACACCCAGAAGAGAGGGGCATCTGCTGCTAAACCATGCTCACCCTGGCTCTTAATGACATCTTGGGACGAAGAGAGCCGAGGCTTGGGCTTCTGCTCCAGCCTGGCCACGGCGGCAGCAGCTGCCATCTGAGCTTCACTGGTGGGCCCATGGCGAGGTTTGGTCTCAGCTTTTGACTTTTCTTGGTGGACCCTTTCCCTGAGGGATAACAGAAAGGCACAATTAAATTAACAGCTGTCAGCGAGGCAGCGTCCTCAACGAGGTCAGCTGAAAGCAGATAAACCAGTGATTAGAGCGGGATTATGATCATCTTCGTTTCGCTTAAAGGCTCAGATTAGACTTCACTTCTTTCCCCCTTGCCCATCGCCGAGACCATAAACTACTAAAAACTGTTTAAAGCAAAACTGGATTTTTCCACCATCTGATATTTGTATTTCATGGTCAAAAGAGGGAGACCAGCCAGCTGTTTTCTGAACATCCCACTGCAGCACTGGGTTGTGTTGAGCGTTCAAGCAGGAGGCAGCTTACTTCCAAGTGACCTCACCCTGCGACTGTGAAGTTGCGTTTAAGATCACTGAAATCAGATCCCTGGTTTTTGTGACGAGCACCTGCAATGTCAATCGACGACTCTAAAGGGAGCTGTGCAGCAAAATCTACGTGAATTATGCTAAACCAGGAGATAAAAGTAAACTACAGATGGGGAGGGGAGGAAATATTATACCTTTTTTCTTGCATATGAAGTCCTTAAAGGCAACAACACACGAATCAAAAAGACTTAACAAGTAACACTAATATCAGAAATTCATCTCATATATTCTGCAAGATGCTATGAAAGACAAAACCGATGTCAAGGAAGCGAGATATTCCCCGTCTCCAAACTCAGTCCATTTAATTAAAAAATCCTGGAAAAGGTTTTTTGTCACGTAGTCGACTCCAGCGCCTTTCATGCTGTTCTTAACCAATACAAAGTCATCCAAGACGTCGTCAGCAAAACCAAAGACAATCGTTAGGAAAGAGATTCAGGTCTTTACACAGATAAGAAAAAGCAGACCCGTTTCTCTTAAGGATATTCTCTCCTACCTCCCACAGATACAGGGGTTCTCCCAAGTCTTAACACAACACGGTCCTACCAACCACAAGCGGAGAATACGGATAGGAAGAAAGTGGTCGATGCTGCTAGCGCTCCGCAGGACAACACGCGTTTCGCTGTAACGTCCCTCCCCTCCCCTGCACGACAACAAGCAACGTGCCACGCGAGACAGCTGCGGAGCAGGTCTGGACTGGGGGCAGCTGCATCCACCCAACAACGACACAACTACTTTGGGAAGATCACGGAGAAACCAGGCAGCCCGGCCTTTGGGCAGCTCGGGAGCAGCCCGGTTTGTTTGGCCATACGCGTCACTGGACCAAACACGGACCTGGGAGGGACTGGAGTGCTTCGGGCGAAAGGGACGACCGAGCACGCCTTGCTTCTCGACTGTTCCCCGGAGCCTCAGGGCTTCTGCCAGACTCGGGCTGGACGGGTCAGCGAGCCCTGCCGAGGGCAACCTGGCGACGGGCTCCAGCCCTCGCGGCTTCATGCCAGGAGCGGCGCCAGCCCTGCTGGGAAACCTCTATGGGATCTTCCCCAGACCCACTGGGAC